CGAACCACCTCGATGCGTCGTGTTGGAGAGTTAGGAGGGCAACTGCTCCCGAACCACGACACGACCCGAGCGAAACTAATTGCCACTCGCATGCAGCAGTGTATCACAGCGGGGATTATGGAGGATTGTCTAAATATGACTCAAGGTTTCATTTGTTGGGTCATATTTGAACGGTCCCCAGTGTCAACGTAGAGTAAGATATACCGGTTTCTTGCTACTGTGGGAAGCAAAGGCTATCAATACGTAAGGCGACTTGATGTTCGTACGACCGTGTAAGCTTCGAATAGCGTCTCACAACGAATTCAGAGCCAGAGGATTTGAAAGAAAACATGCGTCGATTGGGGATGGGCCCGACACGCGAGTTACTGAAAAGCAATTGACGGTACACCTGCCACAGGTGCTGTCTTACCAGGGATGGTCATTAGGCCGGTCCGGCCATTTGTAATGAACTCTATACCCTTGCACTCGCATCGAAACGCTGAGCTCGAAACTGCCTTCACTATATGTCAAACGGCTTTTGAACGGAGTTACGAAGCAAGGGAGCGCAGCGGTAAAGTCCGATTTTGCAGACAAGAGGTGGTGGGAATTACTCGCAAACTGTCATCAAGGCAACTAATGCCAAGTGGTGATAAATCAACGAGTTTAGAACCTTTCTGCGAAATTCATATTGGAAAACAAAGAAGCGAGCACCTCGAAAAACCTTTCCCACCACCTCTGCCTGCTATATCAGGGCACCACCGCTTTGCTTTCTTACTTCATAACTCCATTTAAAAAGCAGTTTAGCAGATCGTGAAGCCAGTTTCAAGCTCATCGTCTCGAAGCGAGTGCAAAGGTATACAGCTCACTGCCAATGGCCAAACCGACCTGATGGCCTTCCCTAGTTGAAAAGGCTGCAAAAGTTTGCTACATATGAGCGTCTGAGATGATGAGTGACGTACTTTGGTTACTCTATAAAAAAGAGAACCAGCGTCACCGCCTCCATCGGAGCAACTGGGCATGCAGCTCGACGAAAACTAAATCAATCGAAAGTGAGAATAAACCCAAAAAGTACCGTCAACTTTCGGTTTTACACGTCTGCACAACATGTGTGCTTCCTGGGGACACCCATTCGTTCCAGTTACGGTATGTACGGTAGCGCCAGGATAATCCTGTCATTTGCAGTCAAACGGTTAGCAGAGTGGCGCTCTCGATGTAATGTCTTCATCCTCCTTGGGTATGTATATTGCTACGCACCTTCGGTGCTGAAAGCGAAGATCTTCATAGGTAAAATTATTTTATCAACACAAACAATTACATTTCACAACAGACAACAGTGTTGAGGAGACCATCCCGGGTACATTACCTGCTCAGAACAGGCTAACACGTTTCAGACCACTTTGTAATGAAAACAGAACAAAGGGTAACGCACAATGACTAGCAAAATTAAAACCATCAGTCGTCGTCTCTTCGTCGTTTTCTGCTGCGACTATGATCTGAATAGGATAACGTTAAGAATGTCACGGAATGAGTTACAAGAGTATAGTTACCTTCTACTTTGATCGAGAAATCGAACTCTTGATCGGCTCCCAAATATGAGTCACAGATAAAGTACAGCTTGTATTCGAATCGACCAGAATTTTGCGCGACGAAGTCTAGTTGCATTTTTGCCTTCTCGTTGATGGTCAACCTTAATGAAACCATAAAATTTTAGGACCTTCCAGAAAACAAATCTGTTAGCCTTACCGCTTGATGGAGTAAAGTGCATTTGCAGCTGGATCTCCAACAACGAGCCACCATCCTTCCTCTTTTCGTTTCTGAGGGAAAAGTGGCGCCACCACAGGTGGTGCGAGACCATTAATGTGGTTTTCCCGTTCCATGGATACATTCACTAGTAGTGTCTCGCCACTATAACTTCGAGTATTAAATAAACGCTGGACAAGGAAAATACAAACATTAACGACATACACAGTAACGGTGTCATTCTCCAACTCATGTTCAACTTCTATTGACGGATAGTTATTACAGAATTTCGCAACATCAGCTAGTTGCACGTCTTCCATTCGCAATATATCACGGCGATCATCATCATCCAATTCCAGTAATTCGAACACTGACTCCACTTTCTGAAAAAGTAGAACTTCAGCGAGTGAGATTAATTCGCAACAGATAGAACTGCCCAGGTTGCGGAATCCCAAAAATCCATCAAACCATATGGGACTTTTTTTTATCAAAACATTGGTACCTTCTGTTTTGCTCTTTCCAGAAGTCCTGCATTGCAATGTGGCAGCTGTTTTAGATATGACTCATTACTGTACATCGCTTGAGTTAACATTTGAGATAACTCCATAGCATGAATCGCTGGTGAGAGCCAGCCGTTACTGCAAAGGATTTTTATTCCTTTATTTCTACCACTCATGATAATAAAAGTACAGTATAACAACAGACCTTGAGAGAACATCAACACAAGCTTGTACAAGACGAATAGCTTTCAACACTATCATATCTGTGTCCTTACTGAGCTCCGCTGACAGTTGGATACGAGACAAATGGGCATGAATCAGTAAGTTTACCTAAAAGTTTAGTAAGTTTTTGAAACAATGCGACACCTTTCTTGATGATTTTATGCCTATGCGACCATATAAGGAAACAATAGAATTGGAATATCCGGTCATCAATTCCCCTATGAAGCTCAGGGATGAAAATTTAAAAAAAAAGTAACAGTTCATTTAGCGAAAAAAATCCAAAACAGAAAACCCCACCTTCACATGCGGATCAGAAAACTTCTGGTTCTTCAGCTGCCCTGGTAGTCGAGCAGCAAGCTGCTTCATCACGACATCCTCGCGATGCCTCATTGGTATTGAGGCGAACTCACTCGCATTCGCAATGATTTCAATAAGCGCTCGTAACTTGGTCTTAGCTTGCAGTGACATTGAGAACAGCTCTGTAATATTCGGTCGTAAAAGCAGCACTTCCCAATGTATTATTACAGCGCTCTCTGGTAGATTCAATGAAGCGCTAACCTATAGTAGTGTAGGAAATGTAGTAGTATGCAGCTATCATTCCCAAATTCAATGGTAAAGTATCCATATCATCTTTGATTGCAATACACTAAAAAATGAGTACAATATCTATTGGCTTAAAATTGCTCATTGATATCTAATCACCTTGCTGTTCTCCAAATCCTTCAGTGTCAACTCAACAAGTTCCGACAGAGCGTCGGATAAATGACGATGTGAAATCTCTTGAAGATTGTAATAATTTGGATTCTGGGTCATGCGACGGTACAAGAAGGTCCATGTAAGGTACTGAAAATAATCGCAAGGATTATGATACTATGAATAGAACACATTTTGCAAACTAATAGCACGCGGAGGGACTCGAACCCCCATTTCCGGATCCGGAGTCCGGCGCCTTCTCCATTAGGCCACGCGTGCACATTCGTGATCGATATGATTTGCGAATCAAATTCCTTCAGAACCACTACCGAATGGAGATCACTTATATCATAGTGTAGCAGAGAAAAGATCATAAACAGGATCACACCAGAATCAAACTAGCAAACTTTGGCCAATTTATAGAAAGGTTGTGTCGACTTACGTCAATCGCGTCTTGCTTGTTCTCAATTGTTTTGGTAACAATCTCTGCATTGAAATGATCGTGTAGGCAGTGATCAAGATGTGATTCAACTGGTAACGGTTCGTATAGAAACTTCTTGAAGAAATCCTTCTTTGACGATTGACACATAAGTACGCATTTTGCTGTAATTATCTATAGTTAGCTCGCTACCAGATGAGCACAATTTCAGAACATTAACAACAAGAGTTTTCTTCTGGTGAGATAATAATTTATGTCCAAATTCAGCGGAAAGGAGGGAAAAGAGGTTTCCAATGCTTACACAAAAACCTCGGCGCTGATAGCAAGCACGTGAATATGAAGAATGCGCTCATTAATCACCCCGAACCCTCTCGATGAGGGAGCGCTGTACACATCATCACTATTGCTGAGAGATTATTCAGACCAACAACTTTCAAGGTCAAGAGCTTTCTTATGGCTTATCGTTAATGTGCATCAAAACCAAACGACACAAGAATAAACACACCACATCGTACGATGATGTAGGAAAGTTCAAGTGTTGCCAATGCGTTGAAAATTTTATAGGCCTTAAAGGAGACCATCTGCACTTTGCAGCGGAAGACTGGTATATATAAAATCTTCAAGGAGGAATAATGAAGGTGCAGGGCTTGCTCAGTACTACATTTTACAACGAAGGAATTGGGCAAGAGGCTCGTTATTATTAACAATCACGCTTGAATTCAGCTCGTAGGAAAATGAGCTTGACAACATCCCATTAGGCCTCAGAAAAGAAAAAAAAATGGAAAAAGCTTCTTTCCGTATATTATAAAATCGGACAGGTCTGCACTTGGAAGCCTTGTAAAACCATGTCAATACATGAGATGAACTTCCGATTCACTTGAAAGAATTTCAAGAAGCAGTTCACAAGGTTCTGAGACCCGGTATTTTTCTAGCAAATAAGACATTACTCACTCATAAAACCTTCCATTTCACATATGCCCGACACTTATACAACTTTTACACTGCTAAAAAAGCATTCATTAATACATCACGTCGAGACAACGATGCACTTTAATTTAAGCAACTTTTTCTGCTGGTTTGGCAAAATAACTGGAAGTATTACGATTTTGAGAAGTTGAATAAGGAAAGAAAATCGAAAGTTCACAAATACCACAGAAGGGAATGCCAGAGAAGGGAATGCCTCTCACCACAATGACCGCCTTCACGCAAAAAAGTACCGTTGGACGCAAAAAGCAATGAATCACCGCCAACGTGCACACAACATACAGGAAAACCACCAGTGGCTTCCTTTTTTCAATAAAGAAAGCGAAAAATTTGTTTCCAGCTTAGAGTGTTATTGAAATCTCAGTAATTAAAGGCGGAGTTTACTATTAGAAAGCAGCCCATTAAAATCAAGGTAGATGTGTCACGTAAAACCCAAGAAGCCCAGAACCCAAGAAATGAGACCCCCTCCTTGCCCGTTGATTTTCGCACTGATGTGACTTTCATCGGTGCTGCCCACTTCAACGGAACGCTCTTTCTGCTAAACGACCAGAGACCTACGGCGAATGGTTACCCAGTCGAAGGGCGTACCGCATCGATAGCCCCGCGGGGAGGGCCAGCTTGATCGACGGGGGGTATGGTTTGCTGCAAATAGCGTGTCGATCCCCACCTTTAGGGGGTCGCCTGTCTTCCCACCAGGTAATGCTCCCTCCTTTGACCTTCTGTTGGAATCCTACTTTAAGTCATTTTATCACATTCAAGTGATACTACGTATGCACTATAAAATGAAAGCTTGCTTTCCCGGCCCACACTGCTTTCAAGGAATTCACTTTCAATTTCGGAACCCTTAAATCAGCACCCTGCGAAAAGGTGGACAGAAAACAAGCCTTCTTCGTGTCGCCGGATGTACGACTCTTCAAACGTACAGAACTAGGGTCCACCGTCCGTTAGTGCGGATATGTAGCAATGAGGGACGTATCTGCGATTTTGAGAGGAGAGTTGCATTCGGGATAGACCAAGGCCAACCTTTGATGAGAAGTGCAAACGGCGGTAGCATTTATGGAAATGGAAGAGGCGCGGTAGCGTGAGAGAAAAAGCCGCTTCTGATAGGTTTTTGACGATTCCTACGAAATCTTCACGAGAGGAGGGTAGAATAGAGAAAATCAGAAGCTTCGCCCCTCCTTCAAAGGTATTTACCCTTTCCCCCCACCCCTTCAACTGCCTCCGCTCGACGGATGTTTTGCCGTTTTGAAGGGCGAAAAGTGGGCGAAGTCGGAGCGTTTCGAAGATTCGATCAGAAGATTCGCCCCTCCTATAGAGGTATTTACCCTTTCCCCCACCCCTTCAACTGCCTCCGCTCGACGGATGTTTTGCCGTTAAGAAGAGTGAAAAGTGAGCGTGGTCGGAGCGTTTCGACTGTTTCAAAATTAGGTGCCTCAAAAATAGCCATGATGGTAAGGGTGGGGGTGGGGCTCCTAAAGGAGTGGGGGGCGTATGGGGAAGGTGGTGGTTCGGAGGAAATGTGGAAAGCCCTCAAGAGGAGTAAAAATTCTGGAAAAGTAACAACGCTAGGATTGACCCTGATAGAATGCTATGAGCGTTCAAGGAAATCCTGTTCAACTACACAACAAATGTGGAGCAGAACAATTAATTCCCGTTAAATACCCTTGAGCAAAACCTTAATATTCGGGCAGAAACGATATCGATGAAATCGAGATTAGCGATGTGGATGAATGTTGCTTGAGATGCTTCAATGAATGTAAAACGTGAGCCTTTGAATTGGATATCGTATTGTTATTACAACTTCACGCGATTCATACACGTTACCTCGAAGTCAAGAAATTGGAAAATCTAGACTGCGATTATAGAGGAAATTCGAGCGAAAAGGCAAGCATGCTAAAATGGGACTGAATAGACAAGAGAAGAAGATTGGAAATTACAGGAGAAAGGAACAACCACAACCAAGAACCTCTGTTTTCGACAACAAAGGTGGGTAAACGCCTACTTCGTTTTCAGAAACATGGGGTAGTATCCTGACAAGATGTTCCTCCTCAAATGACAATGTTTCCTGAGCCAAGCACCCGTGACCAGCGAGCATATAGACCTAGGGTATCAAAAGAAGGGGAGTTGTAAAGAATATAAGCGAACCTCTGAATCTTACTAGTGAATTATCTGGTGATGCTTACTAGTGATTCACAAGAATGCTGGGTTGTGAACAAAACTTTCGCCCCAAAAAAAAGTCCCGTCCGGTGCGAAAGTTTTGTTCACAACCCAGAATTGTTGTGAAACGTTCGCAAGGCGAACTGCTGCCAAAAAAGCAGTTGACAATCAAAAACAAGCTTACCAGTGAATTATTTGATCTCAAGAACAAAAGGCATGAAGGCGAGCGAAAGTTTACCTCAACCATAAATGAAGGCAAAATATCCTATCAAAAAATGATGACTCGAGGGCAGTGGAAAGACGCGACCTTACGCGAAAATGACAACGTAACGCTAAAGAGCAAATACAGCTACTTCGAATGAAAAGCTGTTTCAAGCAACAAACTTACACGGAGATTAATTTCTTAAAAACTGATAAACGAAGTTGCATACAAGTATTGTCAGAAAACCAAAGCCGGACTGTGAGCTTGATTTGCTGCTCGTCAGACAAAGTTAGAAAAGGAGCGTGAACAGCATGTCATGAACCGTCGTTCATGATGTCACTTAAGCCCTGCCCTCTGCGGATAATATGAACGCGCAGGCGGTCTCGGGGCTTCGGTCGGAATCTGCGCTGCGAGGCGTGAGCCTCGGCACATTGCTCGGTGGCGGCGATTACGCACCGGTTCAGCCGTCAGGCGGCCACGTCGTAAAATCTTAGCCGGACGGCTTGCGAAGCAAGGGTCCTTTGTTCCCTTTTCATGATGAGGAGTTCGGGCGAACACGACGGCTGGCGGACCCGTTCGGGACGTGGTTACTTCGAAATTCAAGAAATTCAAGGCCTTTTAAACAAGCTTAAGTTTAAACTTCAAAATTCAAATTCCCAGGTTAAGCCGCATTATACCATGCTGTTGGAATTGAACATATTGGTACGATTGCAGAATTTACAAATAAATATATGAGAAGGTGATGAATTCAAGAGAACCACCTAAACCTACATTTGGGAGTGATGCCCCAAAACACAGCAGACGGAGGAACAGGTATTACTTTACTTTCCACCGAATTTTACTATTTGAGTATCCGCAATGGCGTCATCACCTGCTCAAGAACACTAGGAAAAAGAAAAGAAGAAAAAAAAAGAAAACATGATCACTTGAGAAAACGCCAACCAAAACGAACCACTCTGTGCATTATACTTACTTCAAGCAGTCGCTCGATTCACAAGATCGGTAAAACTTTGTGAGTAAACGCATGAGCCAGGACAATTTTTTGAAAAAGGGTAGACAAAGGAGACTACAACCTTCAATGAGCTCCGAGTAATGGTGCCCAATAATGGCAACATAAGGTTTTGTGTGCTCGCGAAAAATCTCCAAACACTTACCATCAGGATCCCGTCCCGGTCTGTTTGCTAACCCAACCATATGAAGAACATCTCCAATGGGATAGTCCTCGTATACGTGGTACTTTCCATTATAAAATTGAGTATCCATGATGACCACAAGATACGCGAACATGCTAACTTGATAGCACATCGTACGTGGTACAATACAGACCTGAAAAGTTGTTAATGGAAAGTTATTTTGATTTTCACTAGATGAAGGAATGGCAGAGTTTTCTGCACTAACCTGAATGGCACCACTACTGAACAGTTTCTCGACGATTTGGAAATCCTTCGCGTGCGTTCCTTCATGCAGAAATCCAACACCGCACAGTAGCGTTTCGCG